CGGAGTAGGCCTACGTACAATCTGTACTAGCCCCGGTGGTGGCACGCCAGCAGGCCCCGCAGCTGCTGATCCAGCTGCTCAGAGAGGACCAGGATCAGTCTATTTGGATGGATCCTAGTACAAAGCTGTGTAGAAAATCCTGTAGAAAATCGTGGATCAAGGTACTTGCCTTGCGATTTTGSTCAAAATAGAAGGGTTTTGATTGCAGGTACAAAATTGTACCGTGTCCTACTGTCGTGACCTTTACCTACCTCCAGCGTGCTGATCCAGCATGTTGATCCAGCACACTAAACTGTTCTTTTCATTCTAAAGAAAACTCCCCGGTTCAAGCAACCGACCATGGGAATCAGCTCTATTTCAAGCACTTCCACTCAACCTTTCTTACTTTACTTGGTATCACTGGATAGCTCTCTTCAATTGTCGATTTAACAAGCCCTTAACTGTCGCAAACAAGCAAGTGTAACAGATTTTATAGTGTGTTCAGTGTAGCTTCTTTTTCACGACGAGACTGCTTCTTCCAATGTCAGCAACCAGCAGTATGAGCAACGATCCAGCCGATGAGGTTGCCAAGCTCCGATCCCAGCATGGATTAACTAGACTAACGCAACAAGAAAGAGCAGAGAAGCCTCACCCTTCTAAGGGAGGGAGTAGAGGATATGATATTCATGTAAGACTGATGGAACTGGAAAGGAAAGCTGCTGGGCTTCCTCCTGCAATCGCTAGCAAGTCTTCAGTCAGCAGATGGGCAAACAGTAGGATCAAGCGCTATAGGATGACTGGAAACAATAGCCAGAGCAAACTAGTGTCTTGGGATCTCTTTGACATGGTTCTATTCATGTGGATCTATCCAACTGCAAGCTATGATGAAGTCGCAACTTTTGTCTACAACAGATCTGGCAACATATACTGCAGATCACAGATCAGTAGGAGACTGAATGGTTTAGATATGACGCAGAAGGTCCCCTCTACGGARGCCTATCAAGCCTTYACTCCTGAGTGTATCTGGAGGGCAGAGACCTTTTGGAATGATCCCCCTCCATGTGGAGTAGTTGGTATTCCAAGGAGGAAGTTCATTGATGTGGATGAGTTTGGGATGGATATGAAGAGGACTAATGACAGGAAGGGATGCGCGCTTGCTTGCTTTAGAGTAAGGACTCCTGGAGCCTACAAAAGGGACNGAGTTTGGGATGGATATGAAGAGGACTAATGACAGGAAGGGATGCGCGCTTGCTTGCTTTAGAGTAAGGACTCCTGGAGCCTACAAAAGGGACATGAAGCTGACTATCTTGCTTGCTGTGGAGCCAGGGGATCCGCGTTTGCCTCCAGGGTCTAGAGGAAGCATTCAATATCCAAGGAGATGGATCAAAGTGATTCAGCAAAAGGGAACCACTTCTAGGATCTTT